CTGCGACTTAATTTTCTGCGTTCTACACTGACCGGTTGTATTTCACACGAGGGATAACTAGTAGTCTGTCTAATTTTACCCCGTAAACTGATAGAATAGAATAGAATAGAATTTAAATAATTCTTTATTTAAACACAGTAAAATTATGATCAGGGATATATAAAAAAATTAAATAAACCTAACTACCCTAAACAATATGCAAAAAAAAAACTATCTACAACCAACCTAACTAAGGCCTGTTTTTCATGAATGCCGTGTATACAGTACTTTCAGAAGAGCCAGTCATTTTTTAACCGGTTTGACGCGCGGTTAAAAGGTCCGAAATATAGCTACTGGGGTGTAGCATTAACAATTTATCAGGCAGTTCACACTGATTGGTCGCACAGCTCCTTTAAAATGTAACGTATTGAAAGAAGACAGCGTCGACATGTCCTAATCAAGAACGAAGTCAATAGCGGATCTTGAATTGCGCATGCGTTTTTCAAAATAAATTGGAAGCGTTACCACAAATATTACGCTATCCGTGTTATCAAGTCCGATAATGTTCCCAGTTCCTATACCTCGATCGTAGACCCGTCTTCAAAACAAGCCTGTTTCTCGGCAAGGATATAAACAGATGTTTTAGTCTAGCAATTTCTGGAATGGGAACAGCAATCGCGTTCCCCAATAGAAGCAAATGGCATGCACATCAAAAGCAAATTATACAGGGAAATTACGATCGACTCAATTAGTCAATAGCTATTGCTACTACACGATGAGAGGTTAGGAATTGATAAAAGGCTGTTAACTTTGAATCCGCCGAGATGGCGTGCCCAATTTATCTCGTACTCATCGATCCTAGTAAAACATACCGCACAAAAGGACAGCCGTATACTGGACTAGGAACGACTTCCGACCTCTATCAGTCAATATGGCGGACCAAATTGAATTGCGCATGCGTTCCAAAAGAAATCGCATATCTTACCACAAAGATAACGTTAACTATTTCATTGAATTCAAAAATATTTCCCCTCCCTGTATACCTTCATCGATGTTCATCTTCGATAGTGTACGTTCATCGGCAAGGAGATAAAGGGTTGTTTAGCTATTATTTCGAATTTTTGGAAGGGAACAGCAAATGCGTTCCCGAATTTATGCACATGAAAAGCGAATTATCAACGGACTAATTCTCTGCTCAGTAGTCAACCACTGTACTGAATCATAGTTAGTTAACTGTGAGTTGATATCGCTACTGCAATGTTTCAAAGTTTGAATCCACGATAACTTGGCAGAAGTCACGCAACGTCCCTGTGATGAAAGACTTCCGACTTTCGTGCCTTCGACAACATTTTTATGACGACCCACGCAGTCGATTCAAAGGAAGCCTCAATCAGAAGACAAGTGTGGTTTTATGGTATTTACAATTACTATTTTTACAAAGTTTGCGATTGTGGCGACCTTTGAAGAATTCTCGATCCTTTATGATTTCCGGTACAAGTGTCACGGTCCCAGCCCATGCCGATAACTATGAAATAGAAAGAGCCTTGTCCATCTGGCTATTAAATATATTAAACCTGATTAAAGAAAATAGTAACTAAACGTCGGACTCGTCTGTTTAAAACAAGAAACAACGTACCTAGCCGGTTGGATTGGGACATTTCACTTTTTTATCCGTACTCACTCCCCCCCTCCCCCGCCCACCACCCCACTATGGAAGGCTATCCTACGTAGTTTTTGTTGTCACAACGAGGCCGCCTTTCATTGCTTATTCGGGGGATGGGGGATGGGGGGAACAGAAAAAAATGAAATGTCCAATCTTGTTTTCAGCCTTCCCCCACCCCCGCCACTATTTATTTCCCTCCGCCGCCGCTGTACCATAAATTCTTCAACCACCTTCCCCCCGATCTTCCCTCAATCGTTGCAACCAGAATGCAATAGCTGTGTAAACTCCAGTTGGACTGATACAATAGTTTACTCAAGCGCTGAAAGTTCAGGTTTGTTTTTGATATTCTACTATGTTCAGCTACACAATCTCAAACTTCATGTGCTTTAGCTTTTTCGCTTTGCATTCAAGAGAATTCATAACATCTCCTGGTTGTCTGAAAAAGAGGTACAGCAACCCATTTTACTGAAGTAAATTTAATTTAGCGCCCCCTGCCCCCGCCCCCCCATCTCATTTGTGCTTGAAATAAATAGGCCTTCCAGAGTGCTTACAGTCAAACCAGGAAAACCGTGAAAACCAGAAATAATTGCCTTGTCCTTGTCCTTGCTGCTGTCATCACTGAAGAATATTTTTTCAAAGTAGTACCACCCAGGGGGACACCCTAGTGGGAGGGGTGGGTGGGGGGGTGCTCAGGTATAACAACCAGCCGAGTGGTGCCTAAAAACCCTTTTACTGGTTTGACATTTGAAATCCAATCACATTTTTGAGGTTAGTTTTTAACTTTGGGGTGTTTATTTCTGCAGTAAAGGATCTGACTTTGGCACTGGCATTTTTGGAAGGTTTACAAGAAAGTGAATAACCATGCTTCTAACTTTTGTCAACAGTTGCATTAGATCAGTTTCCTTCGCAGACATCAACTATGTGCAAATGACTCAGATAATTCTTGCTTTTAATGGATTACCAGTATCCAGAAGAACACTTTCCTCAGCTCAAATTAGTAGCCACTGAACTTTTAAGGATCTGCTTTGGGATGGAAATTCAAAGGGTGCAAGACAATTATGCCTCATTCACACATCCTTGTTACTATAATACCTGAGTAAATCCAATCCCATGGGGGAAGGGAAGAGGGATGGTACACACTACATATCTTACATTTACCAACCGAAATGAGTCATTTTGGAAGGGATTTCAATCACATTGAAGATGGTTTACCTTGCCTGCCTCAAATGTTTCGTGGCTGCTATGTCATGCATATAAGTTGCAACGGTGAGTCAAGTTTCTAATTATTATTAAATATTATACACTTTCCTTGGAAAAGACCATTGACCGTTAAACTGAAACCCGACATTGTCTCCCCAAAGAGAGTTAATAGTCAATAATAATGGAAGCAGTTGAGAAGCAACTGTCCCACACCAGACAAGATTCATGAAGACTATACTTGAAACCCAAACCATCTTCGATCTGATTGAAATCCCTCCCAAAAAGACTCAGGAACACAGGAAAATTTCAGTGGATTATGATATACCGTATTTCCTCCAATAACAGCCATCCCTTGATTAATTGCCTCCCTCGTATAATTGCCCCCTGCACCCCTCTCTTTCTTTTATTCCCTGCCTGTCAAGTTGAAGAGGAATCAGCCAGCAAAACTGATCAGTGACAATCCAAGCTCTGAAAATTAATCAGGGAACCAAATTTGGAACACTTGATTAGGGCACTTGACTTATTTAGGGCAAGACTTCCAGTGAGCAATATTTGAAATAATCGCCTTCCCTCAAATAATCGCCCCCTTTTGATACGAAAAAAGAAATAATTGCCCCGGCTATTATTTGAGGAAATACAGTAGCTAATACCGCATTCAGGTTCCCTGTGCATTTACATCACACATAGGTTTTTGTTTCACTTTGTTTTAAATTTATTTTTTTGTTGTTTGTTTTTCATAGTTTCCTTTGCTGGTTTCTACCAGTTAAGGATAATTATTGAGAACCAAATGATGCTTTTATGCAAAGTTGTCTACTCCCTATGGTTGGTATTTTCTAAGAAAGTAGCACCACTAAGAGACACACTTTTCAATATAACTATAGCCTGTTTATAATACACAATAAACTCATTGGTAGTTTTTATTTCACAATTTATTTCTCTGCTGTTAGGTTATGAGCAAGAGAGCTTTTTAGGAGGAAACCCAACCAAGTGAGCAGAGATTAACCTTTGGCTGGCAGAACGCCGTTTTAAATAGGATGAAGGACTTTTTTGAAAGTCTTGAGCATAATTAAAATTAAAATTGTAAAATCCCAACTGACTGTCAAGTACCATCAGGCAAATAATGTTGAAGAAAGAAATACAGCAAGTGGTCGGTGGTCAGCAAAAACAAAAATCCCATCGACATCATTGCCATTTGCAAATGCTAAAACCCACACAGGTTAAAACAAGTGGGTCATCTATGCAGGGCTATCAATCCCCCATGTCTTCTCAAATATTGAGAATTGCAGGGAGGGGATGATAGATGATGTCATAAAGCATGGCACATGACATTATTTCTGCAAAAAAATACTCATGGACTCCGATCGTCACGAAATATTTGCGATGACACAAAACATGTGAAAAGGATGTTGTTGGCATTATAACATTTGACCGATTGGTTTTAACATTCCTGACTAATCACATTTTTTCTTATATTACAATGCCATACCGGAGTTTATGAGGAGACATTCAATGTTAACAGTCAAATAGCTCAAACAACAAAAATTGTTTGAAATTTCATTATCAGAAAGTCCAGTCTTGAAGAAATGGCAAACTATCCTGGAGGTTTCAGACTCTAATCTTAAGACCAGGAGATACGGTCCAAAATCTGGAGTCTCCCGGTTTATCCGGGAGAATTGACAGCACTGTCTATGTGCAGGGCTGTCAATAAAATTTCAAGTTACTGGGTATATGCAGTAGTAGGAGGGGGATTGTACATTTAACAGTTCTTTTGGTTCTATTTTCCTTTTGTTTCTTATAAGAGTAGCCAGGGCTCATGGTCATATTTGCCCGCGGAAAATCCCTGGCCCCCACCTCTTAGTAACAGCCCTGTATTATGCCTGGCATAAAATGCAGAAAGAGCAGAAACTTTAGACAATGATTGACAGAAATGAATTTATTTTCAGGCACAAAACTTGGTTATTACAATAATATGTATGTACATATGAATGTCAGAAGAAAACAATCAAGTTACAGTAAAGCAATTTCCCCATAAACCTTGACTTGACTTCCATGAAGTCTGCTTTTCTTCTTGTTAAAGCCCATCATTACTAAAATTAATATTACTTTAAGTATTTTTTCAATTTCCTTGTGACACAAAAACTCCATTTTGGACCAAGAATCACTCATCTGCTTCATAAACTTTCCCAGGAGTCTTTGCAGCAATAAACTTCACATCTTCTCTGCAAAATAATTAAGAAAGAGAAAATAGAGCATAATTTAATTTAAAAAAAGGGTCTGACACCATTAGTTTTATCTAATCAAATAAGAGTGAAAATTGAGGTAAGAGAACATTGCTATTGTGTCTCACTTCACAAACAATTTTGTTTCTGTAGGCCATGTAAGCCTTGTCCATCTAAACCTTACTTATTTTCCTAAAACCTGCCTTTTGATTTATGTAACACCAAGGTAAAGTCACAATGAACTTGGCCTTTTTTTGGTCCGATGGATTTAAGACTGGTTTTAGTTCTCTACCTTGTACACTGCTGTACATTATACTCATTTGTTTTCCTTTCAGGGGTGAAAGTAATGATGAATATGCTTTGCTATATGCATTTCACAAAGAAGATATGAAAATAAAACAGAAAAGAAAGAAAGAAATAGGAGTCAACAAGACGGGATATTTATGGCTGTTCATTCAACCAGCTCAGGGACAGGGTATGAACAAGTCATGAATGGTCATGGTTGTTTCTGTCACTTTGTGCAGTTTCTTCTCTGTACAGGCAATAAAACAAAACATAAATAAAGAAAGAAAGAAAGAAATGTAACAGGAGTCTACAAGACAAGATATTCAACATTGGTCACCCATCTAGTTTCTAACCCTACTTAGAGCTTAACTTGGATGGTTGTAGGGGCTGTCCACACTTGGTGTTTGGTGTTTGGTTGCCCTTTGCAAAGTCAAGAAAGTCAAAATTCTGGCAGGGGTGGAGGTGGGGGTATCTAGTTGACATTATGAGCATCTAACCAAGGATAAGATACAGGCAGAACTTAAGGTGCTTCCTTAGTAAAAGAACCTAACAGAGATTGTAGATGAAACTTGGTACACTGATGTAACAAGTCAAAATGATGATAAAAAAAGTAATAAAAAGTGGGGGTCACTGTGCTCATTTTAACATCACAGTGCTGGCAAATACAGCTATTTATGGCACTTTGGCAAAAATGGTGCGCAGCCCAAAACTAGACAAAAAGGAGAGATTTCTTCAATGTGGTATCACACAGAATTTGACTCAAATGTATTGTTTATTCACTTATGTACCAGAAAAATGCCTTTTAATGCCCTCGTTATTATTTTACACTCCAAAGTAGACTTGAACACACGCTATTCAACCTGTTATTAATAGCTCATCAATCTGTACAATTTACCAACATTGTCAGAAAACTGAACATAGATTTATGCCTTTTTTTTTCTCATTGAAAGGAAGCACTGTTCCTATAAAAATCATGAAATAAGAAATCAAGGTCACCGTACTCATTTTTGCGGTAGAGCTGAAGAAAATGTGCACCAAGTGCATTTCCTCCTATTTGTGAGAGAGAGGACTGCATGGGCAGGTATCAAAATGGTATGTACATGGAGGGGGGGAAGAAAGCATTAAGAAATCCATTTTTATAGAATTTACATCGAGACATCACAGTTAGGACACAATGTGATAAAGATGGTGCTTAAATAAAAATCAAAGTGAGTTAGCACAAGTTTAACATCTACTATCGAGGTTCTCCATGAGGAGGTCGAACTCAGCAACACGCGCACTGCTCACATTATGTACATTCCCAACACATTGGGTCTCATTTCAGCAAGAAACATATGCAAGCAAAAATTCCAATAGCGTTTCCCTTCAGTCAACTTCATTTTAATATTATTATGTTACTTCAGATGCTCTTTTTCACAGCAGCCACCTTGTTATACGCAGTAAGAGATGCGCAGTGCAAAACCAGCGAATCACCTTACACTACACTACACTAACCCTGTCTGCGATGCTCCTTCCAACAGCTTCCTTTGGCCACCATATAGCACTGTGGGAGGCATAGATGCTCGCCGCAGATCTCGATCACAATAATAGTTGTTGCTTAGCTTGTGTGCTGGGCCATCAGGAAGGCTGGGGTTTGGCTGTGTTCTGAATAAAAATAATGTGACGTCTTATCAATATTCTGCAGAAACACCCTAAATTTCCAAAACATAAATTTGATCAGCACCTAAGGTGAATTTTTGTGTTCCTAATTTCAATCCAAGATTATTGCCCAGTCACTTGATGGCCTACCAAACTTTTTTGGTTTAATAAGGTGAGCTCATTAAGACACAAAAGTAGATGATTTGAGTGCTAGCCTTTTTAGGAGGTAGTGCTTGAAACATCGGCTTGTGACTTACCTTTAAATGGTGACAAACTGACTTTGCCAACTGCCTCATTGATAAGCCCAAAGCTTCATGTTTCACGGGATGTTCCATTTTTTGACTGCACCCCCCCCCTCTCTCCCCCGCTAAGGATGACTGGAATCCAAACCCTCAAATTTTAGTCAGCACCCTTTGAAAAATGAATCTAAAGGGTTCATTCTTTGTCAGCACCTTTGAAAAATTTTTCCGAAGGATCAAAATTTTGTTGTCTTTTTTGATGAAAAAATCCAAACCCCCATTCAAAAACTTATCATCCTTAGGTGGGGTGCAGATAACAAATGGAACATCCCCACTCCCCGGCATCATAGAAGCACCAGTCAAGAATAAATAACACCCCACATAAATACCTCTTGTGCAGGCCAGTAAGTAGGTGGAACATAGAATATGTTATATTATGTAACATGCAAGAGATTACAATGGAATCTACTCAGGGGGCACCCTTGGGACCTTCACAATATGATAGACCACTTTACAGCTGTGGACTTAGTATTTTAGCCTTTGAGTGAACATGAAGCTGAGGTTGACCTTGTTATGATACAAACCTCCTTCCGTTTGTAATGGCAGTTATGCTTGAAACATACTAGTTAGCATAAGAACAACATGATTTACATAATAAAGCAGGAAGGGTTGTATCAAAACAAGGTCAACTCCAGCCTCGTTTCCACCTGTAACTGCAAAATGTCCCCTGAATGGAGGTTGGGCTGGGGTTTGTTGATAAAGAACCAACAAAGAACAAAGAAAGTACATTGAGTTACGTGAAATTGTCTATGTTCTGAGAGCCGTCATCGTTGTGATTAGTGTACACTTAAACTACCCTCTCTAAATAATAATAAGCTACAGCTTTAGCTATTATTATTCAATACAGTGTAAAGGAACGAATTTGTGGAACTCTATACTAGAAGATTTAAAGAACAAAAAATCACAATATAGTATAAAAAATAAATCTTCTGTCACAACAGTGCTTAGTGGTGTGCAAGTTTATAAATTGAAATTAATTTATAGTTAGATTTATAGTTGGATTATGCTGCATATGGCGTCCAGACCTGATAAAAAAAGTAAACAATAGGGGAATCTTGTAACAGCCCGTAAGGGTTTCCTAAATTCCCCATATTGATGTAATTATATCTGTTCAATATAATTAAATAAAGTTAATGTTGTAGTTGTTATAATTACGTACCTTGCGACTTGATCATTGGGATAACGCAACGGTACTTTCAGCTTTTTCTGTACGAAAAAAAAAAACAAACAAAATACAGCGTAAGGACTTTTTCTATCTTATGTCTTGGCTGAGCAGAATAGTCGTAGGTCTTGCTTACTCCAATAAGAAGATTCCGAAAAACTTGCACTGGTTTCGTCGCGGACGCCATTGTGCGAGTATTCAATCTCGCATTGGTTTGTGGGAAATCCACTTACCAGGCTCTTTGATTTCGACCAAAATTAATGGAGGGGGGTTGCGCCTGCCATGCAGGCTAATAGCTTTCTATAGAGGAGAAGAGAATTAGATCAGCGTGGACTAGATCAGTAGTTTCCAGTAGAGTTATAGATATGCTGATTTCAAGTCCAAGAAATCCGTGAGGGATAGCAGGAGCCTATAACTCCCAATTTCTGTTGATAACAAACACTAGATCGACGAGCGCGTACATATGATTATGCAATTTAAAATATTTAATTTCTTTGTTGTTATTTACAATTCTTATCGTTGTTGTTGTCTGCTTAGCCGTTGATTTTCCCATTCATTTCACCCATTTTTCCCATCCACACGTGTTCCCACCCCTTCTTTAACTTGATTGCTATCCCAAGAGCCTGCGCGCGCCTAAAAGCCGCTTTGACCACGTGGTTCGACCTTTTTGATCCTCCATTCGTTCAAGATGGACAAGCCAGTGAAACTTGCGAAGGTATAATATGAAAATTCTAACTATTTGCCGAACGTTAAAGTACTTTAACCGCACAAATATTTTCAATGCGTTCTTTGGAAGAGTTTGCAACATAACATTAGCAATTGTAAGGCTTCAATGTAAAACTATCATCATTTGATTTCGCAGTGCACGTAAACACAAGACTCTTCGATCAGCTTTTGAAGGAGAAGCTTACTCTTTATTCTTGAGATAACTGCATTTCGAGAAACAATAGCCGATCTCAAGTGTTTTTAATCGTAAATTTTTAGGTGACAAAATGTTTGGGCCGAACGGGATCCCAAGGACAGTGTACTCAGGTGAGGGCTTTTGAAAAATTATGGATAGTTTCAAACGTCGTTTTGCTACTTCCCAAAATCAGTTGATCGAATTATATTCAACTTAAGTACGGTAGTAGCACGTTTGAAACTATGTTGTCTTTAAACAAAATTATTTCCTTGACTTAATGTTAGAATAATTAAGCTTACATTTTGTATGAGTGTTTGGATAAGGCAAGTGATGAACTTTCATAGGTTTGATTGGCCACTGTATGGCTTATCAATTTCCTCCTTGTCTTAACAATGCTTTGTAAAGCAGAGAATTTGAGATAGCAGGTATCAAACCCAGTCGCTTTGGGTCGGAAGGTTATTCTTTAATAACGCATGTACAAGAATAATAAAAATGACCTTACCATTATTCTTACACCGATGCCAGCATAAAGCTTTCTGGCTATAAGCCAGTAAGCTCAAAAAACAGAAGGGTTTTATCAAAGCAATGTCAAACCAGCTTCACTACCACCACACTAACTTTATATCAGGGTTTCCAGACTAAAATTCCATTACCATATTTTTTTGCTTACAAGGTGCAGCATTTTTTAACAAAAGTTTGCTTGATAGCTCTAAATCTGTTGTAATTTCAGGGTGCATCTTACAACCGGGTACCTTCGTGCAACAAAGCAAAATTGGGTCAAATTTTTTACTCTAACAGCTCTAGCTGCTCATCCTCTTCTTTGTTATCGGTTTTCAATGACTTCTACATCTTCTAAAGCTGGTATTTAACGACGAACGAATCATTAAGTCATCTGGCATAGATCGTTTTGAACTGAACGTTGATGCTGGGTAACCAGGTGACTTTTTGAGCACATGCTTGACCCATGATGACGGTTTGTTACAGCCATTTCTAAGCTGCGATCTTGCACTTGTTTCAGACCTTTATTTTTTTTAGAAAGCTCCCAAATCTCTAACAGACCTGACCTCTTTATAGCCGGGTATTTTTGCTTAATTTTCAGTTTGTTAGAAAAATCACGTTGAAAAGTGTGGGCTGCATCTTATAACGGAGTGCACCTTATAAACAAAAAATATGGTACTTTGCTGTCAGAAAATGATTTAGATGAACTTATCAGAGTCATAATTTTTTTTCAATCTTCTTGATTCTTTATCATGTTGGCTCTAGTCAGTTTACAGCAGACTCGCATTCCAGTTTATTGTTATATTGATACAGGTCTCATTACATAGGCCACATATTTATGATACATGATACATTTCTGTGCTGTACTAGACTAGTCCCCACTCCTTGTTGATGCACAAGAGCGTACAGCTAACAAGTGACAAAGTGTTAGTTAGCATGCATTATTGTGTCCATCATCTTGAATAAGACAAAAATATATTGTATCATAATATCACCATATATTGTTCAAAATAAAATTGATATTCTGTGGTTGGAAGAAATTTTACAGGTCACCAATGCATTCAGTATATCATTGCAGCCCTAACTAGAACTAGGCATATTGTGTTTGGATTTGTTGCGTATTAACTTGTTCCCTGGGAAATGTCCTGGATGGAAGGTGAAACTCAATTGTTGTACCTTTCAGGTTCGAGTGGAGTTTCTTGATGATACAAATCGATCCATCATCCGTAATGTAAAAGGTCCTGTCCGTGAGGGAGACATCTTGACATTGCTGGAATCAGAGCGAGAAGCTAGAAGACTAAGATAGTTCAGGTGCAGTAAGTTTTTAATGCATTTTAGTCATAAATAATTACCCAAAAAATTGGGTTGTTGTAGACAATTAATTTTTTTATCGAGTAATGCGGTAACATTCTAAAATAAGTTTACAGGGTCAGTTGTAAGAATTGTGAATCGTTCATCAGGAGTCGGGTCAAGAAGTAAGAGTCAGACCACAGTAGATGCAAGCTTGTTTGATTCACGGTAACACACTGTAACCTTTCTTGTTACAGGTGACAATTCAGAGATGCAAGTAAAGAACACAAGCTGTTTGTTTGAATCATAATAAAATTGTCATTTTTCCGTGACCATCATTGTGTTTATTAATCTTTAGTTGTATTCTATTAATAGCGATACTTACTGTTTGCAAACATTGTTTTTGTTATTCAAATGTGTTACGAGAGAAACAAAAACTTTTGTTTCAAGAACCAATGCACTCCTTGTTGGGCACATATCAATGGGTGATGTCAGTGTTGGTTTGGATTGATTGGCTTAGGTTTCTAACAACAACGTTCAACTGTTGAATCAAATCAAATGTCTTCAGTATACCATTGGTATTCCTCAATTTCTTTTATTAATTCCTTTTGCAATATTGATGGAATGTTTTCAATTTCTTTTGCAAGTAAGGGAATGTTTTTGGAAAAAAGCCATGAAAGTTATGATTTGCTGTTTGTGGTGTGAGAAGGTGTGAAAAAACGGGAGAGAGACGAGAGGAATGATAGGAATAGTTTTCTTTAATTCTTTCTCCTGCTTTTTTTTGTTCTGGTTATTCTCTCCCTGCACCTTTTTGAACGTGATCACTTTGGAAAGCAACAATTATTGCCATCTAAGCTTAAGTGTACATGCGATAGGATCTGACAGACACCATTGGCTGGTAATTGACTTGTAACTGCCCATAGTGTTTTTGGCAGATAAAGACATTATCCACAAATATCACTCTTTGCCTGATAGTGGCATTTTTGAAATCCACACTTCAGCCAAGGAAAGTGAACTGTATAGTTTCTTGGTGTTCAAAATTTTTTTGTAAAAATCAAATTATCCACAGAGCCCCCATGCATTCGAGAATCCCTGAGCCTTAGCTGAATAAAATTTTAGTCAATTTCAGTAGATATATCTTAAGTGTTGACTGTTGGAGTTGCATTTGTAATATCCTGTGTATGCTTTGTATCTTTTCTCGTACTTAGTCACCTACAATCTTGGACAGAATCAAATGGAAGAACAAACCCCCATCCCCCTTAAATCAAGGATGAAGCCGCATAAAGGGAAAAAACACTCCTTCTTCCCATCTTTGATTTGGGGTTGAGGGGAAGTCTAGGTTTTCCATTTATTTTGTACAAAATTGTAGCCTGCATCATTGATGTAATAAACCCCTTAACCAGAGGTTTGGTTCCATCTTCTTCATTTTTGTTTTCTCTCTGTTTGTTTTGTACTTTGTCTTTTTTGGGTCATGATCTTTGTGAGAAATCAAGCAAGAAATGTACCTGGCATAATAAATATTAATTTATTATGGAAATTGCGTTGCTCCATTACAGTCTGTACTGTAAAATAAAAGTACTGTTCCTGCTGCCAAGAAAAAAATATGACATTGTCTATATACTAAGAAATAAAAATAATTTTTACACGATGAATAATTTGCTGTATTATTAAGTAAATGTAAATGAATCCTCATAAATAGTGTTTGGTGGGGAAACAATAAGTTGGCAAAGCATAATGAGGTTGATTATTACAGGTTAGAGGAAAACAAAATAATAGTGTCCCTCTGACCTCTGTGGAACTGTCTTGAGGTGTTCTTTGATAGCACTGATTTTTTTTAATTGTGATATGGTACAGCTTCTTTTAGGCTAAAATGAGTAAGAAAAGTCCCCATGTAAAACTAGCCTGCGTAGCTAGTAGGGTCACTGTGAGTGCAGAAGTGCCTTTTCGCATGGTGAGCTGGTAAGGATTTTTGTTTATCTTCCCTCGGCTTTATATTTACAGCGAAGTTCATTCCATGGGTGCTTTTGTGGTCTCAGTTACCCGTGGGGTGAAGCAACATTAACCCGGCGAGTGACACAGACTACATAGTACAACTATCTTAAAAATGTCCCATCAGCCATTATTGATCCCAGTTTTATGAGGTGGATAACAGGGATTTTTTGTTGAAAAGCCCTTTTTTATTTTATTTTACTTGCCACACGATAATAGAAAATGAATTACAAAATTATAACACAGGATAAGTAAAAAAAAGAAGTGGCGAGGAGACCGAGGCCTCCTCGAAATACGGGCTATAGCTGTTTACATCATTAATGGAAAAAAGATGGTGAAAAGTCGAAGACAGAAAGATTTAAGATCGGTTGACCCAGGGGACTTTGTCTTGTTAAATTCCCCCACCTCTGATTGGAGGGAAATTCTCAAAGTTGCTCCACCCATTATACAATCCGCCTGGGCCAGCATCTTTCTTCCCCTGGGGCAAGCCAATGACATGTGCACTAACCAGCCAGCAGCCAGCCAGTGACATTACTGTACATGTAGCTATAGGGGAGAACTGGGGTGCTCGTGACCCCCACACCTTGGGGGAAGCTTCCTTTTCTTTTTTTTTTTTTTCTGGAAAAGCACTAGGACGATAAACCAACACGTCTACACTAAAATTCATCATCTTTAAATGACAATATACCTCATGTATTGTCCAAGTTAAAATAAAGCTCCCTAAGAGTGTGCTAAGTATATACACTCACTCAACTCTCTCATAGTGACCACTTCTTGTAAGTGACCACCTCCCGTTAAAAGTAGCCATTTTGTTTCTCAGCCAAATACTGTTTCAAGAACTCTCTCACAAGCAACCACTTCTTATAATTCTTAATGACCATGACCATTTTTTAAATCAGAAATTTAACATATTCTTTTGTTTTCTGTTTCCCCTGAGCGACCACCCAGCGTGGTCACATATGATTGTAAGAAAACCATTGCTTGAATGTTACAAAAAGTCAGTTTTTGGTAGCGCTCATCAAGTGTGCTGACATCATTTGACTCATGTAAAATGTTATGTACCAAGTTTTAACAGTTGCAAGTGCTATTCGATGTATAAGATTATTGCCAGTTGTCTATTTGCCTAGTTTTAGCTTCTCAGTTAATAACTTTGTGTAATTATGTTTAACAGCTCAGTTTGAGCTTATTTTCTTGATTTTTCCAATAGACGACCACCTCCCATAAACAATCACTTTGTTCTGCTCCAAGGGTGGTTGCTTACAAGAGAGTTGCCTGTATTTTAGTCAAAAGTTCCTCTATGACCCAAAACTTGTTCATCAAGACATCCCACATATTTTCATGTATTTTGTCTTTCTCACCACGTGACTCATCTATCCAGCTATTTTGTAGGCTCAACCCCCGCCTAGCCTGCATTGCAGCTGGCCCACACACTCGTCAAAACCATTTGTATAGTCCATCTGTGAATTAGTGCACAAAAGCTCGATCTAATATCCTGCAGAGTCGTAAGGACATATGTGAGCGTTTCTGATAGGCGGGTTTAGAGCGTCTGCGAATGCAGGCAACCCCCTGCCCACCCACACTCACTGCTCATCCAAGGTCACATGATAATCTAGTGAGTAACCTGGACCTGGATGTGAAATGGTGTGAGCCCTCGCCTCTTCAAAAATCCTAACTCTGCCCCTGCAAAATTGTTCCATCATATTGACATCAGTTGCTGATATCAATTATCCCATAGTTGCAAATTATCCATGACTGGCCTCACTCAAGACAGCATGCAAGTTATCTTTGGTGGATAGCACCATTTTTCTCGATTTGCACATATTTTCATCATAACATGCATGTATTAAAAAAAGCTATTTCAATTATAATCCCCTACTTTCGCTAGCTCAGCCTCACTGAATAATATTATTATCATCATCATCATCATTATCATTGTTATCACAAGTACAAGCAACTGTATGATATCAGACAGACCTGTACTATAATTCAAAAGCCATGCAACTGTTCTGAACTGGTAATCAGTGTCTAGTACTCTCACAAAGTGTCAACTTTCTTCCTAATGCTCAGATGCAAATGCTATATATCTGATATTTCAGATTACAGTCACAGGCACAGGCTCTTCCCACCCAAATTATTTTCATTTAGCTTAATAGAAAACATTGTTTTCATCAAAGGATTGTTCACTTTGCAATGCAATGGTTTCCTAAAACTTAGCCTTTTACCCTTCACTCAGCTGTGCACAGGCTATACTGAAAACATATGTATCAGTACATCTACTCTATATCAAAAAGAACCAAAATACCTAAGGGGACATATATTACAAGTTTCAAAAAATAAATAAATAATCAGTTGAGAGTCAGTAGGTAAAAAAATAAGTTAGTAGGTACAAGTAAGCAGGTTAAAAGTCAATGGTATACGATTATTGGATTCATGATTGATCTTGTGAAAAAGTCTTAAAAGCCCCTGCACTGATGCAGATAAAAAAAAGTTGGCTTCTTATGCTTTCATGGCACATAAAAAATACCAATTAACAAACATGACAGTATACTGCAAATAGTAATATTTAATATTTATTGCAAAAAATTTGGCTACAAACATATTCACATGAATCTTTTATTTTTAATAATATTTATACTTTAATCCTTCAAAAACCGTTTGGCCTCTTTAAATCATTCCAATAGTTCATGGCTTCTACCAACTGCTCCATGTATTCTATTGCCATTGAGAACTAAACTGAGTATGCCAAAGGAAGATTGAGGCCCACGACTGGTCCGACTGTGCTTAACCATGTGATAAGATAATTAAGAGGCCTGTGGAGAAAAGATTATGATTATCTAATATCAAGCTTTGTTATGATAATTACTTAATCTCCATCAGTAGCCCCAACGCATGGCTTCCTTTTCTCTTCATTCCCCTCCCCCTTGAACGCCTGACATTGAGGCTATTCTTCAGCTACAGGTTAATGAAACCTAGCCCTATAAGCTTCCTGGACACACTTATTTTTATCTGGCACAATTATCTTATTGATAAACTAACTCATATGGCATAATTGCTATCTCATATGGTGTATTTTATTTTTTTTCACCATGCTATTAATATATATAAAATATTTTTTAACTTTCATTGCGATTAGTAGTCTTATCCTGTATTAATTTTGTAATTGCACCATTTCACATTGAAATTAATTTAAGTATATTTAACAGCATATTGATAAATATTGTAATCTTAGGCCATAGTAGATATTTTTCAATTATTGTAAACATACTGGGGCATTGCAAATTGCACTCAAAATAATGCAATTTTCTGATACCAAACAATGATGTTATCCTGGAGAGCTTTTTCTTTCAAATGTGCATGTATGTATAAATTAAAATAATGCCATGTATAATTTAGAAAATTCCTTTTTAAAGAACATCACATGGTCTGAATTGGGAAATTAAAGAGGGATTCCTTTCTGCTTCCTTTGTCAAAAAAGAAGCTATAAGATCAGACAGCGATGAAAAAGCCATTCTCTACGGAAAAGAGGTCCACAACACTACATACTGTACCTGTCTGAGTGAATACTTAATGCCCTCTTCATCATGTCTGCAGTGTGGCAAGGATGAAGCTGGTAGAATGGAACCCCAAGGTAAGGGTGTTCCTATGACAAGAAAGAAATGATTAGTAGCCGGGCTCTACAAAAAAACAAATAATTAAATGGCAGGTGACATACATTTACAAGGCTGTGCTCTAAGGAAAATTGAAGGGAGCTCAGAACTCTGAAACTGTAAAATCTAGGGTGCCCAGCATATATGATTTGTATGAAGAAAGTAAGATTTTCTAATCACCCAAGAGCAAAAGTTAGGCGCCAAGGGCCACCGGGCTCTACTAGAGCACAGCCCTACATTATAAGTATAACAGCTGTCATAGAATTAGAGAATATTAGGTACCGGTAACCGCCATTCAGTAAATCAAGCGACACTCAATTAAAGGGCTCTTTGCTAAAACATCCCCTTGATATTTTGTTTATTTTCGGATGCATGTAAAACTTTTGCCTTAGGCTTTTTAATTTTTTTTTTTTGAGTAAGGAAACAGACTGTCAAACATTATTTTTCTCAATGGTTACCACAGTATATTTGGCAGAAATCCCAAATTATATGCAAAAAAACCTTCACTTTCCTAGGGCAGTTTCTTTAATTTGTGACCCATGAACGTCTTTTTTTTCACTAAAAAAGCCATATCTGATCATGTATACATATTATGCAGCTCAAAGCTTGACAGTGACCTAAAAATTGCTTCTGATTCAGTTTTTTTACCATCTAACTGACTGAAATCTCAGGCAATTTGTTTAACTGCTTACAAAACCGAAACTAAATTTTCTCATAGCACTACTAGGTATCAGAGGTTTTCTTTACTATGACTTTGTGCTTGCTTAATTTATTTTTTATTAATGCTATGCAATGTCTTACTAAAAGCAAAGTGACTCATTTTGGATTTCCACTTCACTGTTACCAAGTTACGCATTCCTTTCTTTGCACTGCATGTATCTTGGTCAATGGCTAACAGCAGTACTTCCTCCCCTCCCCCTGTTTAATGTTGTAGAATATGTGCAGCTTTCTAAGACCTTGCTTTAACATGCACATCATGACTAATTATATTTTCTAAAAGATGCTCTACCCAATATTGACCTTAATCAACAAAGAACAACATAGTTTGGGTAAAGGGGGCACTGTTTGTTTTCCTGAGAAGCAGGGAGAGCATCTGTGTGGATCAACCTGACAAAGTAATACCCACCTGTTGGGTTAGAAAGGTCCACTTTTCATACTCAAGTCTGTCATGATAAATGTCTGGTACATTCTCCCAAACTTCCTTCAGACTTAATAGTCTACCATCTGCAATGTATGATACAAATTATAACACTGACTTAAATTAAACCTCCTTATATTGAGTCTAGACAACACAGGACAATATTAATTTGGAGTCTTATACCAGCCGGTAAGTTCAACGTTTTCATAATAATTTAAATTACAAAGTACACTAGTAGACAACAACAAGTTATCATAAACAGAGACAATTACACATAGATTTTTATTGAGCCAAGTGAACTTACGCAACAGAACAGGAAACCTTGTGTGACAAGCATTCACAACTATAATTTTGTTTGAAATAACTTTTTGCCAAACTTCACTCTCCTTTAAACATACCTTTTTGTAAAAGACCAGAAAACATAAATGTAATTGAAGATCATGACAAAACATGCCAGTAATAGCCCTGTCATGTTTGCACACACAACCGTTTTGCCGTCCTCTTCTTCCTGCCATCCTGTTGCGTACACTCACTGCTATCACCTTGCTGTGGTGGGAGAGGGGTGTGATTCTAAGGTCGGAAGAGCTAAGCAAGCAGGGGCGGAGTTCCTGAGCAAGAAAGGTTCATTGAGAGGTGATACTGTCAAAGGGTAATTGAATGTTACAAGTGTAATTTTAATTACAAGAAAATGCAGGTATTGGTTTTCACACTCTGAAACAACAGCATCACTTGTAAAAGTTTTACTCAGCTGACCCCTGGAAAAAAGCTCGCTATTAAAAATCGGTAAAATATGTGCTAATGGAATGTGAATGGAACACAAACAGATCACCAAGTCAATTAATACGAAAAAAAAACATTCCCCTGACCATTTAATCATGTCCTTTTTCTGGGGATTTTATCAAACTTAATTAGAACAACTACTAACAGCAAGTACTGCCAACTGTCAAGTTTATATTCATGGTAGAAGCAATGAGGATAATTCTTTACATGAATACTACATTAATGTGGTGAATAATTTTTAGGCATGGGTGGGGCTATGATGACCAATTTTGTGTGAAGGGGTTAAGGGTCTCAAAAATTTTCACCAAATGATTTCAAGCATATTTAATAAGAATGGGCGGTACATGCAGTGATATGCAGAGGTATTGACAATATTTTTCTGGGAGCTAGGATTAAAATTAAGGCTATGCACTTTGTTAACCAAAATACAAACCATGTCTGCAAGCAGTAAAATACAAAACAGGTACACTGTAGCTGTCGCTGTACACGATATGATACTCGTACTTCAAGAATTCACCATGTACATCTGACAGCTGGTCAACTGACACTGTGCAGTCCTGCAAAATTAGTAAATTCATACTTAGTTAACCCTTTAAGCCCCAAGATCCACATACAAATTCTCCAGACTGATCTCAATACATTTCTTTTAAGAATAGTTGAGAGAATTTGGTTTAAAATCAAAGCATTCTCCCTTTTTTAATCAATTTAGTAATTCTCATAACCTTTACTCTTGATGATCTGCTGATGTTGTGAGAGGAAAATTGATGTTGGTCACTCTTGCGACCTAAACGGTTACAAAACTGCTTCCGATATGGTATCAGAAATGAGCCTCCGTTTTTTTTTTATAATTCCAAACCTGCCCTTCTTGAGAGTTGTAGTCGAGGTTTGCTAGAGTGAAAATCCTGGCTTGTTAAGTATTAATTTCTATCACTTAAATACCATTTTTTTTAATTTTAGAATATTAGACTTATATGAGACTTTCTAACAGTTGTAGGTAACTGATGCTTGAACAAAGATACTTGTCTTGTTCCTCAACAAAATCCTCCATGCAGTGCTACACACACCACTGCATGTAGTGATCACTTTGGGGTTGTTTCATCTGCCTTTTGATTAGGTCAATAAAGCAAAATGAAACTGATGACAATGTAATAACATGTGAACATGGGCAAAACATCTTACTTCATCATTTTCTGTCACTCCCCATTTATTTTCCTCTGGGAAAGGTTTGTTAATCTCATGATCACTTTCCTTGTGGCCACTTAGTGCAGGTTTGACTTGACGTTTAACAAGAAACTTTCTTGCTTTTGATTTTCCCTTTAAAGGACAAAGGATTAAAAAAACCAAGTCATTAATATTTGCCAAGCAACATTGATAGATAAAGTTGAAAATTGTTGAGCAGAATGAAGCTTAATCATAAGTTGAACATGAACAAGTTTTTAATGCACTAATCAGTTCAAAATTTGACCCCCATTCACAATCCCCCAAGGCATTTGGCCACTTTTTGGGGTCCAGGAAGCATGAAATTCAACATAAAAGTCCTTACCTGGGGGAAGGGGAAGGGAAATTTGAACTTTCCACGGGTTGGGTAAGGAATTTGAGCCATTCAGTAATGAGGACCTGTTAGGGGGGGTGCCCATGTGCCCTGTCTGAATTTCACAGCCAGCTATGTCGCAATTTCGGAACATTCTCGTGTCGCCTGTAGGAATATCAATAATAATTTTTTAGCTAGTTGCCAGTCTGACAATCCACATTCGCTGCAACGACACCAACAGAACATACGGCCTCTATCTTTAGTACTTTTAAGCCCAGGGTTTTAAGACCTTTATAAATGTTTGATATTCATTCAGACTACTTGGGATGGTAATTGAAGTCAATAAAATTCCATTTACTAAACTATACAAGTGTAGAGATATTTTTAAAATGGCTTGGCGTGAATCGAGGCCTAATCTGGCAAAACACTCGAGCAATGATAACATTTCTAAAATTCTGGTAGTGCAAGAGTCTAATGTTTCTCCCGAGTTAAACTATGATTTAGTTGTCAGACTGTGCTTTTCCGTAACTATAACAACCCAGGAGGAAGGACATTATCAACCATTCATTATCTGTAAGGCATGCGTTTACAAGAAGTCTGTGAAAAATGAACGATTTGGGCGGATGACAGTTCTCCCCGATGTTGTGCGAAGTGGCATTCCTCCAAAGATGACGTCTGCTGGGTTTTCGTCATCATCAGAGTCAAGGTCGCTGTCCTCTTCACCGCCTTCAGTGACATCAGCTACGACAATTCCAACAACGAAGGGTCCCCTGTTCGGGTATCCACGTATGTGGTAGCGCTTGACAACCACAACACTGTTGGCCTCAAATAAAATGGCTCCTCTGACAGCTTCCTGCTCAATCTCTGTGACCACTGTTTCTCTAGCTGTGAGGTCGTCTGTGGTGGAAAAATCTAATGGTCTTGAAGGCTGATCTGGTGTTGTGTATGCGAACAATGGAAGTGTACCTACATTGTCCTTGGTACTTTGATTTCGAACGGTCAGTTGATGGACCAGTTTACCCAACCTGTCCCTCCAGTCTCTCATCGACCTCTGGCCATCTTTTGCATGCCATTTCTACTGACGATGGAACAGACAAAGAAGGCAGGTCTCGAAACGGGAGTTTCATCTCATATGGTACTTCATAATATAATAAGAGTGAGGAAGGAGGAGAACATGATACACAAAGCGGCAAAGTCTTCAAAGGGAGTGATGCACTGAACACGTCAATCAAATGCAATGAACAATCAAAACAGCAGTAAAATGAGACGTATTTCTGTTTGCCTTTCTTGGACCCTTATTAGCCATTACTAGCCATTATTGATCATTATTAAGTAATTACTACCGAATAGTGTACACGCAAATGTTCTGCAGGGCATTCACAATTCTCAAATTCGCTGTCTGTCTGTCTTGACATTGGTGTCGCTTTCGCTAATTCATTGCAACAGTCTGTCAGTGGTCACCAGTTCGTGGCTCTCATGTCACCGGTTCAAGGCCATGTCACTTGTTGGAATTTACCCCTAACAGGGCCTCAGTAATCAATGTTTTGGAAAACATTTGAATGTACGTTACATTCAGAACTAAAAATGATGTTTTGTTATTTCCATTGCCAGCACTGCACTCTTCTTCTGACCCTACTTTTGCCTCATGCAACATAAGTCCTCTCTCCTCACATTCTAAAATCCTTGTGTGCCTCCAAGTCGGAACTACCCCAACAGGTATTCCCTAGTGCCCTAACAGCTACAACAACTGTCCTCGGAAAATGTCAAAGGCTTTTCAAGGTCTTTAAACCTGGCGTAAAAGGAGAACCACCACTTGAAACTCTGTTCCACAATAATTATCAGCATTGCTATGTGGTAGGTACAGCTCCTAACAGCTCCAAAACTGACCTTCTGTTCCCCTCTCACTTTCTTGTCCAATGCCGTTTTAATGTACTCCATTATCACTCTGCCAAACGCTTTACTTTACTCAGAAGCATGATACCATGCCAGTTTTTTTAGTGGCTCAAGTCACCATTCTTTAGAATCCTGATTAACAGACCCTTCTTCTACTCCTCAAGCACCTCCTTCTTGTCCCACATCTTGTTACAAAGGTCCATCAGACCCTTACCTGTCAAACCTTACTACCAGCCTTAATCGCCTCTAGTAGTTGATGTTACAGCCTGCAGCTTCTTTATAACATTCTTGTTTGATCTCAGCAAGTGCAATGGAACCTGCCCTGATGTTCAAATTATTGCCTGGTTCTAACCTGAGATCAGGCTCAATTTTCGTTTCGCTTTGCAATAACATTCTGGCCGGCAAGGCGAAACGAAAACGACTATCAGATCTTGAGACATTGTTCTAACAGCCAATCAGCCAGGGCTCGAACTTGGCGGTGGTCTACTAGCCAAATACCAGTAGATTTTGATTTTTGGCTAGTGGATTTAGCTCATTTACTAGCCATCTTGGCTAGTTAATTTTCGCACCTGTAAACAACATAAGCCTTGAAATGTTTTCAACATTTTCCCAGTTGATCCGCACCTTCTAGTAACCTCTTATTTCATTCCCCCCTTAACAACTGGCATGAATAAAAGAAAGAAAAGTAATTCTACATAAGAATAATATTTGTTATTCGGTTTTCAGTTTCGTATTTTTTCGCTGCCATCTTGAAATTTTGTACAACCAGGGAGCATGGGCCAAGCTGTACCTATGATGCAAAGCTAGCCAAAAACAAATGTCCGCCATCTTGAAATGCAAATCTACGATCACAGTCCACGCGTGATTGTCATGGATTTGCAGTTTTCATTAACGTTTGATAACAACAGGATTTTTGACATTTTTTTTTATTTTATGCTGTACAGAAGTGCCTAGACTAGTAGAAACACGTTTATGGCTAGTAAAGCCTGAGCATGTGCTAGCCATTTGACTATTAAGTTCAAAAGTTAAGTTCGAGCCCTGATCAGCGTTACGGCCAAAATCTGGCCGTAACGAGCACAAACATGAGAGAGTTTGTATCAGGCCCAATTTTAGCGGTAACCATTAGAGAGAATGTATGAGAACCGCTAAAATTGGGCCTGATCTCAGGTTAGCCTGGGTCTACCTTTGAAGGGTTGGGTGATTCCACCTATAAATCTCCTCCTCTGCTACCGTGAGTAACAATCCTCCTTCATTTCTCACCACTTACAAGTGCTCTGCAATCGTCCATTCAACCTGACCCCTACCTTGTACAAAGCGTTCACATCTGCACCCTTCCTTTACACATTTAATTGGCCGGGCATATAACACTGTATAAGCCCCTGAGCTCATACAGCGACCGTACGTAGCGACCGTACCTTTGGAAATTCTACATTCCATGAATCCTGGATATTCTTTGCTCTTTCAATGAAGTCCAATAGCTCATTTTCGAATTCTTGATAAGACAAAGTACCCGTTTTCAACATATAACACAGTCTTTTTGAAAACAACAAGTGCAAAGACGAGTCACAGACTGGATTCGTAAAAAACTGGTGACGACTTTCTGCGACGCGCATGCGGATAGGGGAGCTTTCTCTCTCTCTCCTCCTCTACACGCAAAAGACGCTCTGAGTGGAGATTGCTTTTAGGGTAGGGTGGGTTTTGGGAGGAAAAGAGAATCTTGTTCAGAAAGTCAGTAGAAGGGTATCCAGGGCCAAAAATAATAAGAAGAAAAAACAAGAGGGAAAACTTTTTTGCATATTTTCATAGTTACCAGTACTGAAATCAAATTTGGAACTGAAAAAAGGAGCTCCGAAATTGGCCCCTTCCCAACCACCCGCTTGGTAGATCATGATTTGGCCGTAGCCGATAAAACGAAAGAAGATAAATCGTACAGGCATTGATTTTTTAAACTGAAATTTCAGTCACTATAGACATATTTTTATTTATACATATTTTTTGGTTTTACATTTATCCCACGGCTATTGAGCATGTCGCCCCTCTCCCCCCCCCCCCACTTCTACCACCGCTCTCGACTTTGACTGTGTTGTTTTTCGAGCATGCAAGCGATTCAAATAACATCAATGTCTTTTACACCCACTGTTTGCACCAAGCTTCTCTCATAGAGAGCACAAAAGTAATTACATAAGTTCGTGCGAATGTGCGCGCAAGTACGCGGCAATGCTTTCCAGCTTCTGCGCGACATTTTGTCAATGCGTGACCCAAGTCTTGTTATAGTTATTCTGTATTGTTATTTTTTGTTCTTTGAGACAATGTTTTTAGTTAAAATAAAACCGGGCCTTTGCGCATGATTTACAAAGGAAGTGTTTTCAAAAATAGATCTCTTCATAAAATTTAGACTTCGCATGACCCGACGCGAATTTTAAATCTGGCCATTCACAACTCACTCCAGAGCACCTGCCGATCTTCTAAAAGGTGTTACCACTGAAAAACAAGCCAAAAATAACGCACATTTTAGGCGCCTGCCGTTGATCGAAGAATGAACATTTTTCTTCGGTAATCAGGTAATTCAAGGTATTTGCGCATTTTCTGACCTTTGTATGTGTGGAATGCAATGTACATTCATTTAATTTTCATTTCTTTTTCATATGTTCTATTTTTTGTTGTCATAAATTCGTTTATTAAATCTTATTTGTGCTGTACTTGGAAGAACTCAAGCTATTAAGGCACATTCTGGTTAAATCTTGAATACAACAAAAAAATAAAGTGCGACAAATCGAGGTGAGTCTCTGACCTTTTCCAAGGACGACGGGAAGTGACGTCACCAAATGGGCCGTCCTTGTATTGTTAAAACTAGAACAACTGACAAAGCTTCGAACAACCATCTGCCGCGAACGCGCATAATGACAAAGTTACTACGCAGATATGAAAAACAACTCCACAACACATGAAATTTTAATTCTCATCTCGGAAGCGAAAATTTAAAAAAATGAGAATATTTTTTAGCTGTTCTTTTGAAGTTGAGTTGCGTGTGCTGTTAAATGGAGCACTATATTTATGCCGTGACATTCATTTAACAAGTGTAAATATCCGTGCAGCCGGAGTGGATGAAGATCGCGCGCGGGATAGATGAGCGTGATGCGCTTTCTTACCGCATGGATCGGCTGGATTACCAGTGACAAGACAACGAGAGCATGATTCCAAGAAGAGAAAAATTTTTAATCTGATGTCCGTTTCAAGAACGAAATGTTACAGGCTCCATCTTACAGAATCTTACAGTTTTTTCTTCTCACATTCACTAATGTTTTCATGCTTAAAATGTTACAGTTCTTTAACCGCATCAGTGATCCTGTCGATTTTCATTTGTCGTTCTGTAATCATATGAAATAGATTCAGTCGAAAAAGTATGAATAAGATGAATATTAATTTTTAGGCACAGGACATAGAAGGGAATGCATCACCCTGTGGTACGGGAGAAATCAAATGGGAAATCAGAGATAAATTTCTTACCACTTAGTAATAAAAAAGTACATGAAGATATGCGCGCAATACAAGAAAATTTAGCGAAGCGGGTAAACTGACTGCATTTGAGTCCATCTCGTTAGGCTTGTGTGATCCCTGGAATAATAGGATCAGACTGGACTCGACAGATGGAAAATGGAACAGTTGGAATATGAATAGATAACTACAGTTAAAATAACAATATGTTTGTTTTGTTGTTTTTTTATGATTTTACCTAAGGAATATTGACTGACAGCCCCTTGACATATCTTTAAGCCTTGCTCGTAGGTTACACTTCCTTCAGCGAACGTATAAAATTGAATGGGAAAGGCCGGACTATCGTATAATCTGTAGTCTCCCTCCGCAAAGACCGGGTTAGTGCGAGTGGTCAGCTGGAAAATCGGAAATGCCGAAATCGGCAGACAAATTCAAAAACGCGTGGAGATGGATGATTTCGAAATATCAACCTCAGTTTTTACTTTCCCGACGTCTTAGGACTTAAGGCTTCTTAGTTTTTCGGTGGATTAAAAACAAACATTGGACTTAAAAAATCTCGGTCGAAAACAGTAGAGCCCTCTCCCCGAAAAAAGACTTGTAACTGAGAAACTTATTCTGACCTATTCTTAGTTGACGCCTATAGCTACTTGGGGACGTCGTCTACTATAAACGCGTCGCCTTGCCGACTCGTATCGAAGTGCAATTCATCTTATAGTATTACCGTAAGTCGAGACCCACTGTATAAGCAGACATTTAATTCGTCTACTTCAAAGGCGCACCACCTATACTCACAAGTGGCAAAGAGCCAAATATAACAAAATAGAGCCCGTGTATGGGAGTGTTTTCAGCTTAGGAAACACAACAGTCGCTGCACACAATTACTCAGTGCACGTGATCTTAAGAAATCAGCAAAGTCGTAGGTAAAAATGATACGCTTGAATTGCATTGTCTGCATTGGAAACATAGAACAACAAAGGGAACTCAAACAGTTTTCGAGCTGATATATAGTATCAAATTAGTAGCTACGAGAAAGTGTCAGAAAACAAGAGCCATAATGGGACTTACTAAAGGGTCCTTTAACTGACACATTTCCGAAAACAGAAATATCGATGATTCTAAGAACTTAGTTAGAAGACTGGATTTTTCTATACTTTTCGTTCGGTTTTGTAACGTTGGTGTCTGATCACCAATATGGCTATCACTGTCGAAGTCTTCAAAAGCTAGCTCACCTTGATCGTCAGTAAGTTAAGACACCCCATATAAAAAGCCCAGTTTTTTCCTTTAAAGCAAACAAAGCAGTCCCCGAGTAGGTCTTTTAGGGGTAACAAAGTCCGGATCAATTTAGGTTTCTGGGGAAACTGCCCACTTACCCCTCTCCTGCCCTTAACTGGGCTCCTGCCCTAGGCGAACAGAAAGTGTTGATGTTGGCTTAAGGGAGGAGTAGGTGGGCAGTTTTCCAGAAAGCTAAATTATTCCCACGGTCCTCCAACAAAAAGATATACTAGAACTCAGCATATAAGACTCCAATTTCCCTTGCAAATGAAATATTAATGTAAATTAGTTTTCATAGGTTCCATTCATTCTATTTCTGTCATCTCCATTGCCAACTTGGCACAACAGTCATTCATTACCATCCTTCAATCTCTATAGTGTCTCTCTCTGATTGGTGGTTCTCAAACAGAGCCTTGTGTGGCTGGAAAGACCAATTCTGGAATGACGGTCCTTTCCGAGCAGCAAGCATTTGTGGTCTGTTGCTGGTCTATCTCCCTGATTTCGGGCCTTCCTCGTTTGTCTCTTTGCCTCCGCCTGTTCGGCAAGTGTCGCTTCAAAACCCTGCCTGCCTCCAAGCTGAGTGGTCTGAGGCCAGGGTTTCCTATCCGTTGATGAAAATGCCAAAGGCCTTCAGGCCTCTCTTGCAGACATCTTCACAGCGTAATTGGGGCCTGCCAGTAGGGCGCTCTCCTTGAACTAATTCTCCGTAAAGGAGATCCTTTGGTGGACTTAAGAGGGGCAGTCTTCTTCTTTGGTTGGCCTAAGGTCTGCTTAATACCCTCATACATCCCCTTGATGTTGCCTGTATCAGCTGCTGACTATCTCAGAGCAGAGGTGAAGCCAGGTTTGCACATCTCCTTGGCTGCGTGTGGATCGGAGGCCCTACAGGTTGAGCATGTTTACTGGGACAGGCTTTGTATGCTGACAGGGGTCTCCCCTTTTCAACAATAACTGGTGTCATCTCCTCGGAGTGGCACTCATACCAGTTGGTAGTCTTGTTCAGATCTTCCTGCCGAAAATGGACTAGGCGGCGCTGTGAACAGCATTATCTGACGTGTTAGCATTGGGTGAGCCTGAACGATTCCTCAAGTGCACGTGCAAATTCCTCCACTTTACCCTGTTTACGGGTTTTGCTAGGCCTTCCTTCCTTTTCTGTGCAATACAGTTTCTCTGTTCGCAGTTTTACTTTGCTGCACACTAAGGAGTGGTCCGCATCGCAGTCAGCACCCATGACACTGGTAACTGCGTTTGGTGCTGGAAAGGCTAGAGCGTCTGGTAAGGATCAGGTCAAGCTGGTTCCAGTAAAAGCAGAACAGCATTATAAACTTTAGCGCAGAACGGAACATCTATCTATGATAATCAAAGGCTTTTCACCAATCAAAAGGTGCCTAGTATCTAAGTTGTTTAAACATATGCATTAGAGTTGGGGGGAAGACAAACGCATCTCTTCGGTATGGGAATCAACCGTGACCCCGGAGAGTGTGATTTCCGAGTTCCGAGTCTCTCACGATTAGCCGAAAAATGTACTTTCCCATTGAAATCTATTTGTGTCCAATGGATCCGATGGACTCCATTGGCACCATTTTCTACCCTCTCATCCAACATGAGTAGAATTTTTCTAAGTTTCCCACGAAAAGAAAATGAACTTTTCCATTGGAAACTATTCGTTTCCAGTGGATCCGATGGACTCTATCGGAACGACTTTCTACCCCCTCATCCAACATGAGTAAAATCTTTCTATATGTCTCAGTCACGAACAGAAAATTAACTTTTCAGTTGGAATCTATTCGTTTCCAATGGATCTAATGG